TCACAATAACATAACAATTGTAGTTCTGGAGGAAACTTTTTGTTTCACAATTTGTATCATTTTATGAAACCAATATACTACTCAATGGTATATTTATTTACTTTTCTCTCTTTACACCCTTTATGCATATCTAACTTTCAATGATATTTAAATGTTAGTAAGATCTAATATTGTAAAGTTTTTTCCCATTAACTACCTCCTTAATCTGTGTGATTTCTTTCAAAACAACTCTTATTGTGAACCAGTAGAGTACAAGACTACATCCCGCAGAGCAATACAAATGTTTTAAATACTTTGAATTGTTTATGTATGTCTTACATCAGGACTCACAAATAAATAATATACAAGTTTGTTACATGACTAAACAAGCAAAAACAAATGGAGTTGTCTCGAATATTGAGATTTAAGAGCAATATAGTTGTACCATCAAACCAGCAAATGGGACATCCCTAGCGAGTGTAGACCAGTATCTGCGAAAGTAAACACAATGAGCTATGCAGCCAAAACAAGGACTGTAAGCAGAAAGGAATCCATTTTACAATATCAAACTTCTAGACATAACTAAGTCTTTTGTTTATATTGTCAATTTTTTATAATTAACATACTGAAAATAACTGAATGCATCCACATTATTTAAAGTATACCCCGCATATAAACCCTTTGGCCCCTGCTCCCTCCAAATAGAGCAGCCAGCTTGAAACATTCCTGAATAATAACCATATGTGTTCATCCCATGTTTCATATGGGCCCCATCCTTCAACACAACAGAAGTCCAGTGCTTTCTTGTGCCTTGGACCTGCATGCGTTGCTTTATCACCTCACACGGGACATATACAAATGAACCTAGAGTATCACCTGAACAGAAGATAAAATTATTTCACTTTGAGTTCAAAATTTTAAAAGCAATCCAATGAACACAAAAATTCAAACAAAACTGAGAGGAAAAGCAAATGTATAGAAGTGTTGACCTATAGCTCCAGCAATGAAATGTGCCCAGTGGCCACCGAGATTAGGATGAGAATGTTCAATCCACTTCTTTGTGGACTCTATGACCCCAAAATACGTAGCCCCAGTTGCTAAAGATCCAGTGATCCCTGGTGTTAGTCCTCTATAAAATCCTGTCATGAAAATCAATCGGTTTTATTACCACCTTTAGATTAATCAAAACATATCTATGAATTAACCCATTAAAAAACAAGAGGAAATGGAGTACCGGCCAAACTATCTGTAGTCCACACAGTTCGGATCATCTGTAACACACTTTTCTGATTCTGGAGAAGTGGAAATAATCAAATGTAACAAAACAATATATTAGAATTGAAACCTTCTAATGGGCTTTAATTCATTGAACATGGCAGTGGGCCGTGAATGTAGGTAGAATTATAGGATTATAAATCAAAAAACGATAAGAGAGCAAGAAGCCATATGACCACTTGTGCATTCAGAGTTCAATCCCTTTTTTCCAGGATTGGAGAATGTGTACTTATAGTACAAAGGAGGGTTGTTACGATCCGCTATCTTAGCGGAGAATAGTAGATCGTGGACTAAATCCACCACAGGCGCCTCCCTAATTGTTACCATGCTCCCAACTCCAACCTAATTTGAACTCACCTGATACATAGGGCCAAATAGTCTGGGTCTAACTGATAATAATAGAACAGGTTGGTATATTGGGTTTAACTCAAGCACACACCTGGGTCAGCCTCAGTATTCCCATCAGTGCCATCACAAACCCCCTAATTTCTTGTTTAGTCTTAATTGAAAAATACAATACAAGAAATTACAATTAAAATGGAAGGGAGTTTGAAATTCAAAATGTTTAGTGTGTCATTGTGCGACAATGCATGTGGGGCATAGAGGGCGGTGTCGTGTCTTTCCAAGGCATTCATCATTCCAAAACTCATCATCACAGGACTCTCTACTCTTCGCTGCATGTTCAATCACAATGAGGGTTCAATCCTTGTCTATTTAAACCCCACTCACTCTCCTAGCAAGCCTTTTACACCTCCCTTTATTCTGAATTTCCTTACAAATCTTCTAAAAATTCTTCATAGTTTCGTCCTCTTATTTGTGCATATTTTACACTTCCAATCAAGCACAGTGGGTATAATGGACCTTTGATTTGCTATTCCCTGCAAAGTGTTCTAGGAAATGCCTTGTTAGGTCGTCCCATCAGTCAACAGATCACGTCGGGATGGTTCCAAACAAATCTGTGACGTTGCTCTCTAGGGCTTAGAGAAAGCACCTAGAAACCAACTCCTATGTGGCTATGTTTCTCCCACAGCTAACATATTGGCATAGTAACAACTCAAATGCTCATGGGGTGTCTCCCTGTGTATTATGAAAGGAACTTTGAAGTTTTAAGGATATGAGAATTGCATGACTTTCTGTGTGAAACGAGTAGTCGTTTGGACCCCCATGTTCCTCCCTGTGGACGCTCCAATGTGTTGTCACTCAAGTTGTTGTTTGAGGTCCTGGAATGCCTTTAACACTAAGACGTCTGGAGTCTATTGGACCAGTACCTCCATAGCAACTTCACAATGCTCAGGGTAGTTAAACCACAGAATAACTATATCAGGGCATACAGGGCTGAGGGCTATGCCGCCCGAGAACAAGAAGCATTAGGAACACGCTTATTTTTAGAGTTTGATCTTTCCTTCAAACTTGGAGAGGGGTATTTATAGTACAAGGAACCACTACCACTATCCACTTTCTTGTGAGAAAATACTAAATAGTGGGTTGGACTTAAGTCTACTAGGGGCACTCTATCCTTGACCTAACCTTAATTGCTACCGTGCTTACGAATCCAACCAGGTTTGAACCTCACTTCCAGGGTGAGTACCCCCGAACGATATCTAGCGGATTCCAAATCTCAATAAATAGATAGGACTACGTAGTTTGGGACTAACTAATAATACCCCGGAGTAATAGAATTATAGAACAGGTTGTTAATATTGAGCCTAACTTGATCACACTTGTGGCGGTGCCAACATACCTATCACCACCCATATGTTTCTGAGAAACTCGGTGGTAGAGATAAAAACTCAACACGTGACCGCCAAATCCAACTGAGAAATCAATCAAAAATGCATAGCTAGTCATCAGATGATATTCATACCCGAGATCCAGTAAGAATGGCCTGGCTTTGGATGCGAGTTTTGATGGTATCAATCGGGTGCATCATTCCTTCCCCAAAGCCTCCTGCAATTGCCCCCCATACGAACTCTCTCCAAACTGGAAATAAGCACACATAACTAACAACACGTGAATTCGAGCATTACAGAAGTTAAATCAGTGATAATGGAAATCATTCATTGGCATCCGTGATCATATTTGGGCATAAACACGATGATACGTTGGCGTGCTGCTTACCGAAGAACTGGTTGTTGTTTGATAAATTGTTGGGGTACGTTGCCAGCACTTTGGATGAACCTTCGGTAGTGGAATCGGAGGACGCCATGGATGTGCCACGTTTGTGAACGCAGAGCGTAGGGTTTTAGAGAGGTTTTGTTTTACTGGGTTTTTATTTCAGAGAAATACTCCGATCCACCCAATAATAATGCTTTGATGTAAAATGACAATAAATTACTCCTTTTGTACCACACCCCCTCCATCACCACACAAAAAGGCAAGAAATTAAAATAAAATTAAATAAATAAAAATAAAATAAAATTAAATGGTGGAGAAAGTGGTGGGGGACAAATGGGGTACACCAAATGGTGTACCCCTAGCATTGCTCTTTGTGATATAATTTCCATTGGACACAATCACGGAATCACCTATCATACTACTCTGTATTATACTCCGTATGAAACTTTCGTATTTTTGTTGTTGTTAATTATATATCTCGACTTAAACATTCTTTTTTAAAACCATCTAAGCTACTTGTTTCGATGACTTTTTCTTATTTTTATTTTGGAGTTTTATCATTATTTTCTCTCGAATTCTTTATAAGATGTGTTTGTTTTGCCTTCAAATTGTCAAGGGTAAATTTCACCAATGGTACCTGAACTTTAGCTGAAATTTTGAAATGGTACCTAAACTTCAAATCCTTTCGCAAAAATCCCTTAATTTACACAATACTTCCACTAAAAGTTCATTTGCCCGTTTCCGGGTTAACTTCCGGTCATTTGGGCCAAATCAGAATCTTATATATTTTAAAATTTTCAATTTAACCCCATTTCTTTTTTCTTTTCTTCCGCTCCCCGCCGCCGTCGCACCACGTCAAAGTCGCTGGAAAATCAACCTGGTCAGATTCCGGCGGGACCAACGTCGTTCTCTTCGTCTTGAGATGAGGATCAAGAATATCCAAATCATTTTATCCAATTTGGCCTGCAACTCCTTGAATTTGAATTTTTCCACTCGAAAAAACCCTAAAATCTGAAATTGGGGGTTTTGCAAATCGGCATCAAATCTTGCAATTGAGGGGTCCTTGGGGGTCGCCGAGATGCCACGAACACTTTGGAGGGATGAGCGACGTCAATTTTGCCGGAGGTGGCCGGAAAACGTCAATTTTATAGTCTTAAAATTGTAAGAATTTCTTTTAGTTAAATACGGGGTAACATTCTTAACCAAATTTAAATAAAAAAGAAAAAATGTTCATCGTAACTTCTTCATCAAGATCCATATAAAAGACGTCATTGTTGTGCTTGTTTTATTTAATTTTTTGTGGGAATTCTATTATTTGTAATAGATTCTTATACGCATTACGCACGTGATAATCTTTAAGGATCAGATTAAAATTATGGCATGATTTATATCCTCACAATATTGTTGGACGGGAGTGTTTTTTTTTTTTTGGGAAAAATAACGAAATGATTGAGAGAGGGAGTAAAGGCTAAAGGCGACCAACCTGGACCGGATTAGTGGGGGTAAAAAAGATCACCGCATAAAAAAGTCTATGGGTCGGGTTAATCACCCCCACCTCCCATGGAGCATTCCGTCCGTTGTCCCCCAAGACCCTGAACATTTCTACTCAGTATTTTTTTCAAAGGCTGAGTGCAATATTTCAACCTGCAAATCCACCGAATTCTTCTTCTCAATTGTCCTTTCCACCCACTTCTGATCGAAAAAGTGTGAGCTTTTTTCTTCTTCCAAATTCCACCGCACCTTAAATCAATGTGCGCCTTTATTCTTCATCTACGTTACAATGGATGATGCTCCAGTCTCTGTTCATGACACCCCTCGTTCGTCAAATATGTGGCCTGGACGAGAAAGATTTTGGCGACGTTTGCTCATTTAGATATCTGGGTTTTGCAGCTAATTTGTGTCTTGGGTAATTTCGAGAACTCACTTTTTATGATCTCCATGGATTGAATTCTATGATGTTTTTTGTTGATGGAGGACTGTATCTGAGACGGGTTCACATTATTATTGCTCTTGGACTGTAGCAATCATCACTCTACGGTTTCCCCCTTTTTTTGTTCAGGAAGAAATGATATACTGGGTAGTAAAAAAAATTGACTGTTGATTTTGATTATTCTAGGTGGAGCTCCAAGAAACCGGTTTTAGTCGTTACCGTTCAAGGAGATTTAACTGCATTGGTGAAACTTGCTCTAGGCAATTGCATAGAGTAGTTGGCTTCTTTTGTAATTTATTAGATTTTGGTTATAGTTCTTGGGGAAGTTTGAGTTTATTTGTTTAGTTGGAATTCCTGCTGCAGCATTAAGGAAAGATTCATTCACTATTCTGGTTTTTGAAAAGAGGGGAAATGTAGTTTGGGACCTAGGTTATTTTTGGTTTGATTGGAAAAGAGATGGATGTTTGGTTTGTGGCTGCTGTTGCTGCTGCTGGTTATATTTCTTGGAAGGATCTTTTGCGTGGTAAAAAAAACTCTGTGGATTCGCCCCGTGAAACTTCTGGAGAATTGAAGCATAATTCTTCACAGGATGCTCCTCAAGCCTTTGATAACACAAGAGAAACCTTTGATGATGGAAATGTTTCATATATGGAAAAGGAATTGGGAGGGTCATTGAGTGAGCAAAAACTTCAAGGGTATAAGGGGAGGGCTCAGTTATCCGTTCACCAAGAGATGAACTTTTATGGTCATAGAACTGGCAAAACTTGTAGACGTGCCATAAAACCTTTAACTTCTCTTGAGAATTGTTTAGTGGCTCACTTAATCCAGGAGCGATCCGAAATGGAAGAGTATATATTTGGTTCAGTTTCTTTGCACCCTACACCAATTCCATTTCTGGTTACTGATGGAAGTGCTGTTATTAGCACAAGTAGTGGCGAGTCTTGTGGTATGCAAGTTGGGAATGAGCTGGATAAGCTGCAAAAGGGGATTATTATACCACACGAGAAGACTATATATGGCATTCCTCAACTACCCAATTTCTTGTCCGCAGATGTCCAGCGAAAAGCTAGAGCTAGTAAAAAGGGCCGTGTCAGGGTCTTTCAAAATTCCAGAAGAAAGATGAATAGCAAACATCATCATTCTCGAGGTAATAACTTCTTAAAATGAAGGGTTTTTGTGTGTCAAATGTCAATGGAATTTCAGGAAGGCTGTCTTAGTGCAATTTTGACAAGCCATAGCATATTAACATGTCTTGCAAGCTATTAAATTGATATTTTATCTATCAAATCATCTTATTCACATGATGAAGTAATTTGCTTTTAGTAAATTTGGCTCATAAATAAACTTTCTTTGTGATTCAGGGTTGTCTAGTGAAGCCTTCCTTCTATCTCTTGGAATGCATGTTGTGTTTTTCTCATCCGTCTTGGCTCATAAAAAGGAAATAGAAAAATTGAATCACATACTGAAGCAGACAAATTATTTGGTTCAAGATCTACAAGATGAACTCGAAATGAAGGAATCATTGACCGTGAAAGAACTTGCCCCAGAGGATTACAAGTCAGAATATATTCGAATTGATGCTTATAACAATGACAGGTTGCTTTCACTTTCTCCTCAGCAGAATTCAAACAAGACATCTTCTGAGTATTATGCTGAAGAGCACGACTATAAGCACATATATGATGAGGAACCTATGAGTAAAATTGCAGCAGAGCTTGAAGTAGAGCTGGAGAGATTAGAACAAAATATGAATTCAACTCCCATGGCTGGGAGATACACAGAACCGATTGAGGTAAAAAGTTTTTTTTCACATGCATAGCAGCCCATAGAGTTTACTTGGTATATAAACATTGGAAGCACAAGAGTGGAATTTTGATACTGAAAATTATTGACTTTTTGTAAAAGGATGTTAGATTTTAACTATGAAAAGGGGCAGTTTATATCTAAATTCCTCATGCATAGGAATGACAATGGGATGTGGTGGGATAGGTACCTAACTAAAGGCTAGGCCTCGTCCCATCCTTAGAACAAGGAGGGAAAAATAAATACATTTGGTAAGATTAAGTAAAGATCAACTTCATGTATCCACATAAAATATTATCCTAAATATTCTACAAAAAAAAAACTTGTTGTAATCATATGCATGATACTCCATACGTTTTAATGTTTATAAACTTCATTCAATGTGTTGATATAAATGAATAATATTATATTGGACACAACAACTTCATTCAATGGGAAGTTTTGGTTGCCATCCCGACTTGTGCATTTCATTTTTCTATTTGGGAATATACTACTCACTATTGTTGCTCATAAAAATTGTCACAGCTTGACCCAGGTTTCGTTCTAGATAGCGTGGGGGATGAGTATGGCTATGATAGAATGGAAGGGGCTCATTATGGTGACCATGATCATGAAGGTGAAAACTCCACTCCTCCCTCGGCTAACTATGCTGTCTCCCCCAGAGAACTAACATTGCGGCTGCACGAGGTCATTGAATCACAACTGCAAGAACGCGTGAGGGAGCTTGAGGCAGCTCTTGAAAACAGCCAGAGAAAAGCTCGGTGCATAGAGGAAGAAGAAGAAGAAGAAGAAGAAGAAGAAGAAGAAGAAGAAGAAGCCATACATTCTTGGAGAGATTTATCCGGGAGTCCCGAATATTTGGACTTGAATTTAGATGGAGGGACGGTTGTTGATGCATACATCGAAGCCAGTCATGACGAGCTCTCAACAAGAATAAAGTCAGAAGAAGACGAGATTCAGATGCCCCGCGATCATGATGATCTGTATCAGATTCAGCTGCCTCGTCACCATGATGATCTATATCAGAGTAGGATGAATGATGTTGGTGGTGGTGATGGTGATGGTGATGATGGGGATGAGATGGATAAGCTTTTAGAGCATATTGTTGAGAGAGCTAGGAAAATTGGCTATCCTGCAAAATTTTGTGCCCAGAGAGCATTGCTTCCTATAGATGAAAATGAACGTTGATTAATTAATTACTGCAGCATTAGTCAAACCAGAAAATTAGAATTAAGGTACACAAAGTTCAAAATTTTATTCTTTTTGTTCCTTCAGAAAGTTATTTCCAGTTGGAAAAGCCCAACGTTCTTTTCGTCCTAATATTAACTAGATTTTGGGTTAAAAAAATGTACTCTTTTCGTCTCATCTCAAATTGATTGAACTTCATGTTTATTTTCTTACAAACTTTCAAGAGGAAAGAGAATTTTGAGATACCGATTTATGCATAGAAAAAGAAAGTAATTTTAAGGAATGAAAAGTTTATTTTGGTATAATCTAAAGAAGAAAGTCAACAATTTATATTGGGATGCAGAGATTCGTATAGAGCGTGGGACTAGATGTGGAGATTAAAATATGGAGTAGAATATTTTACAAAAATAATATAGTTAAAAATAATTAAACATTATAAAAATTTGATAATTCAAAATAATATTTTACAATAAATTCAATTTTACTAAATTTACAGTATAACTAAGTATATTTTTTCCATAATTTGCGATCAAAGGGTGCCACAGTTTGACCAAAAAACCAAATTGTGACAATCTTTTTGGGATAAAAACCATAGGTTACAAAACCATAGGTTCTGAATTACTTTCGGATAAAACGAAGCATCACAGGTGTTTGATACTGAGTATCATTTTTCAAACCAAATTAGGGAAAATAGTATTTGCACTCTGTTTTTTATATCGACACTTCTAAACACATTACTCGCCCCTCTCATATGGGTAAAAGTAGATGAGATGGACGTATAAAAAAAATATTACTCACCCCTCTCACATTAGTCACATATAATTTGAAGTGTCAATTTCTCCCTCTGTCCCATTTGAATTTTTTTGATTTGCGTTACGATGTTTAATTGACTTTTTTCAAATAAATTTATTACGAGTATATTACATGTGTATAAATAAAAAATAAAATTATATATTCAAAATTATATTAAAATATTTACAAAATAGATGTGACATTATTATATTATGCTATCAAATGAATAATGAAAATAAGAAATCGAAATATATAGAATTTGACCATGCGAAGAGTATATGTAAAGATTGAAATAGAAATGAGTAGAGCTGGCAAATCGGTCGGCCAGATCGGGTTCGGGTTCGGTCACTTCAAGCTCGGGTTATTTTGGGTTCGGGTCAATTCGGATTCGGGTTGAGAACTGTATGTTCATGACCCAGTGTCATCGGGTTCGGGTCGACCCAACGGGTTATAACTTTGGTTTTTTATATTTTTAAATTCATATTAACACTTATATTTTCTATTAAATAAATTTAAAATATCAAAAAAAAAAGTATAAAATCTATAAAATTATTTTATTTTAAACCCTGAAGTAATTTTTAGATGTATAAATCAATATAAGGAATTTAAAAATGCTTAAGTTTTGGAAAAAAATAAGATAAATATGCAATATCATTAAAATTTTGTATGAAAATATAAATTTATACACTAAAACTGAGTAGTAAAGTGTATAATTTTAAAAAATTCTTACTTTAGCGGGTCGGTCAGGTCGGGTTCGGGTTTGGTCAGGTTTGACCCATTTTTAGCGGGTCATTTCAGGTTCGGTCAACTTCGAGTTCGGTCATCAAAACCTTTGTTCAAAACCCAGTGTTTTCAGGTCGGGTTTCGGGTCAAAAACAGGTCGGGTCATTTTTTGCCCGCTCTAGAAATGAGAGACTAATAAAAAATGTATTGTAAAAAAATGTACTCCCTCCGTCCTATAATGATCTTCCCGGTTCGCAAAACGAAGAAAAATCCCAAGTTTTTTCAATCTATTTTATTTAAATATTGGTATAGAAATAAAAAATAAAACATACATATTTAAAAACTACACCAAAAGTTCAACAAAACAAGTGGTGACAAGAATATTTTATTTTATCATATAGGCCATGAAAAAACACAAATAAATATAAATTTCCGTAAAGT